GTTGGACCTAGCATGCCAACTTCTTGACTAGTGGAACACCAGCAAAGTCAGGTTCATACTGAGCTTTCCACTTGTTGCAAGAAATACATTCGCTTCTCGGACTTCTTTGGCTAAAATCAAATGTGTAGTATCTGTTCTTATCAGCTTGATTAGCCCTCTAACAGCTGATTTCTACGCCACGAAGATGACCTCTGGATTCCGAGCCGTTTGCTTGGTAAGTTATTTTTTACTTAATTATCTTTTCTATTATTCCTCCTACTTCTGCTGAAGGGCGGCCTGCACTGTTTAAACGCACAGTGTATTTGCTGCCTGACCAGCAACCACTTTTCTATTGCGGCGTGACCACTTGTTACGACGCAACGTATACCCCTTCTGCTGCCCAGGCTTGCCTGAGTAGTAGATCTCTTTCCTCTTTCCTGCCCCTCTTTGGTTGGCTGCTCCAGCACCCCAGGGGGCATTTCCACTTTATTTCACCTTTTCTATACTGCACATTTGATCTATGTCCTTCACCGGCGACTGTACGGAAGTCACCCTTCTTGTGCCTTTGCGCCCTCCGTACCACTGTCCACCATGTATGCCATACTACCGAGATTACGTCGATCACGGTGGCCTAGCCCGGCACCTCCGTTGCGGCCACAGAGGCATATTGAACTTTGAGTGTCGAGCCTGCGGTAAACGCTCCGACAAGCTCAAAGAAATATAGCTCCACCAGTCAAAGTCCACGAGCTGCTCCAGCCAGATACCGACCATCTCGCCTAACAGCACCAGGGACCCAAAGCAACGCCAGCGTGTGCCCGTCGACCCTACCAGGTTAAGACCCTACCGATCAACACGCAGACGGAATGCAGCCTGCCCAGCCCCCCAGGACAGCAGCCGCATCGATGCCGACCACAGTCCGCCTCTGTCGCCAACCAACAACCAAGTAGCCAGCTCTACTCCTGACCAATCCAGCTCTCTGTCTTGCCCCGACGACACGTCTGTCACCCCCCGTGACACCGGCAGCAGCACCACTCCATTCCTCATCAGACGCCCTCGCCGCCGCCGCCATCGTCGTCCTTCCATGCAGGATCCCGCTACTAATACAGGCTCCGGTACTCCTCCTGGCATCAACACCACCACCAATGCCAGCCCTACTGTCGACACCACTCCTCCAAACGAGCCAGCCACCCAACCGCCGGCCGCCGTCGACCCCATATGCCAGCCAACCACCACCGCCTACCCAGACAACCAGCCCGCCACGACGGTCGCCTCTCCAGATGCCAGCCAACCTGTCGCCAGTACCACTGCCAAACTCCCACAGTGGGTCACAGCCTGGTGCAAGCGTTTCGACTGCGCCATCGACAAGGACATGTTGGAAGTCATGGTGAACGACCTCACCTACCTGGCCCAACGCATGTCCCCTCGACAACCGGCACAAACCAACAACTACCAACGCCAACCTCGTCCTCCTACTGGTCAGCGTAGCAACACCAATAGACCCCGTAGGTACAACGCCGCCGAAGCAAGCAGAGTCCAGCGCCTCTACTGTGCCAATAAACGAAAGGCCTTCGATGAAATAACAAGAGGCACCAGCAGATTCTGCCAGATTGGTAAGTCCGCCCTCACTGATCACTTTAATGCCATTAACAGCCAACCTTCCGTGGACTCGGGACCAACCAGTGATTAGCTACAACCATCCCTCCAACCAACGAGCGATGACCCCCTCAACTGCACTTTCACCCCTGTCGAGGTTTCAATCAGACTCGCCAAATGCCACAACACAGCGCCGGGCCCTGATGGCGTCCGCTACTACACCTGGAGACGTCTCGACCCTCAGGGCCACATCCTTGCATTGCTGTTTAACGCTGTCCACCGCATTGGAGCCATCCCATCGGCATGGAGAACCTCGACCACAATTTTCCTCCACAAGAAGGGCAGTCATGACGACATCCGAAACTGGCATCCTATCGCCTTAGCAAACACCCTTGGCAAGATCTACGCCGCCTGCATCGCCAATCGCCTCCTGCGCTGGTGTGAAGAGAATAACACCATTTCCACCGCGCAGAAAGGCTTTATGCGATTTGAGGGCTGTTCCGAGCACACATTTGTGCTCCAATCCATCATCCAGGACGTCTGGCGTAGAAACAAGGAGTGCCACATAGCGTGGTTAGACCTTACCAATGCCTTTGGCTCGGTCCCACACTCTACCATCCTCTCCTGCCTAAAGTGGTGTGGCCTTAGCCTGCAGTCCATCTACCGTATCCAGCAACTCCTAACTGGCTGCCATACCCGCATCCGTTCATGTACCGGACTCACGGACCCCATCACCATCCTTGCAGGGGTCAAACAGGGCTGCCCCCTCAGCCCTATTCTTTTTAACATCGTCGTGGAGCCAGCCCTCCGCCTGCTGTCAAGCCTACAAGTTGGATACCCCCTACATGGCAACTCTGTCTCAGCTCTCGCCTACGCTGACGACATAACCATCGCCAGCGCCACGAGATCCGGACTTCAATCGCAACTGGACCTACTATCCTCATGGGCCCAACATAGTGGCCTCTCCTTCAATGCCACCAAATGTGCAACCTTGTCTGTAGCAAACAAATATCACTGCTCTAACAGCTCCTCCAGCTTTAAAATACAAGAAGCCTGCATCCCGCAGCTCAAAAATGAAGACCACTACTCCCACCTTGGTATACCAACTGGTTTCACCATAGGCACAACAGCTGAATCAGTCATAGATGGCATCCACAAGGACCTCAGACTCGTGGACACGTCCTGCCTTGCCCCATGGCAGAAGATTGACTGTGTCAATACCTTCCTACTGCCACGATTAACATTCCATCTTACCCTGGGCAACACACCGAAAAAACGCCTCAACGACCTGGATAATGCAGTTAAACGCTGCATCAAACGCTGGATGCACCTGCCTCAACGCGCCTCACCTGAAATCATCTATATGCCCAACTGTCAAGGCGGGGCCAATGTAACACCGTGCGGCATCCTCGCCGACATTGCACAGGTGAGTCACGCCACTAACCTTTTCTTATCCAGAGACCCCACCATCTCCAACCTTGCCACCAAGACGCTCGAGAAAGTTGTGCAGAAGCGCATAAGGCGGAAACCCATAGGCCAAGACCTCTGCACATACCTCACCGGGTCCATGGAGAACGAGTTTGGGAGCGACCCATACGACGTCCCCTCCCTCTGGACCCGCCTAAGAATGGCAACGCGACGACTGAGGAACCGGATCGATCTCAACTGGCATCCAAATGAAGATGGCACCCTCACCCCTTCTATTGATGGTAAGCCTATCAACAAACCAACAGCATTCAGCACCATCTCAACAGCCGTCAAGACCACCTTCCTCGGCTCCCTCCTTCGAAAGCCCGACCAGGGAAAGGTCTTCAAGCATTCCGCTACCAACAAAGACAGCAACCACTTCTTTCACGATGGAAACTACATCAGATTCGCTGATTGGCGATTCATCCATCGTGCGAGACTTAGTGTCGTACCTCTCCGTGGCCTTCGTCGCTTCGGTAACACCACCCAACAATGCCGCAGATGTCAGCGCCACCATGAGACACTTGCCCACGTGATCAACCACTGCCCGCCAAACCTCAGCCAGATCACGAAGCGGCACAACGCGATCCTCAACAGACTTATCAACGCCATCGACCGTAGAAACCTAAGGATCTACACGAATCAACAGATTCCCGACTTCCACAGCACGTGCCGTCCAGACCTGGTGGTGATAAACAACAACCCTAAAACAGCGACTATCGTCGATATTGCCACCCCATTCGAAAACGGCGAGGACGCTTTCAACCGTGCCAGAAAAGAAAAGATCCGCAAATACAACGACCTCGCAGCCCACTACAGACACAAGGGCTACGACACTTACATTGACGCCTTCATTGTCGGGGCCTTGGGGGGCTACGACGCTGCCAATGAAGGTGTCATTCAGCGATTAAGCATCTCCCGGAACTATGCCAAACTTATGAGACGCCTAATGGTAAGCGACTGCGTAAAGGCCAGCAGAGACATTTATACCAATCATCTTGGCCCTCGCTACCAGAACTGAACTGCGATCTACAACTCTACTTCGTCCGCTGTATTGTAAATCGTCGGCTCTATTGTAAATCGTCGGCTCTATGCCCATGTAAACGCGTACTCCGATCTACTCTGTAAATTTGACAGGCTACGAGCCCATGGAATGCGACCAAATCCATTGTAATATAGCAGGCTATGTGCCCATGGACCGCGTCAGGGGCTCTGCCCCACTTACATACTTACCTTTTACCCACTTATACTCTCACTTGCCGGCCAAATGTGCCCATGTTATTACTCACTACCTAACCGGTATTTATCTTGTAAATATTTTATTGATATCAATAAATGGTTTTTAACTCTGTTCTTATCAGCTTGATTATAATGTACAATTTTGCTGTTTCTTTCAGGTTGCCATTTGGACTTCGAGCCACCTGCTCCCCGACCCTGTGGTAAGTATTTCAACTGTCTCTTTCCTATTTTCTTCTCTCTTCCGTCGGAAGAGCGGCCTGCACGGTTTAAACGCACCGTGTATTCGCTGCTCGACTGGCAACACTTTACCTATCAGCGCCGTTCCCGGTAGCCATTCGGTGCTCTGCGTGAGTACCCTTTCTTAGCGGGTAGTTTTACTACACGCTACTTTCTTCCTCTTCTCACCTCTCTTTGGTAGGCTGCCTCGGCACCCCAGGAGGCTTTTCCGCCCCTATCACCCTTCTTTCCTGCCACACATTTGATCGATGGCCTCCCCGAGCAAATCGCTCGATGTTACGTTGCTAGTGCCACTCAGGCCTCCCTACCACTGCCCCCCGTGCCTCCCTGTCTACAGAGACTACTTGGACCACGGGGGCCTTTCTCGCCACCTCCGCCAGATCCATGGCGGTCGCCTCAATTTTGAGTGCCGTGCCTGTGGGCTTAAGTCCGAAAAGCTGAAGGAGGTAAAGCTGCACCAAGCCCGCTCTACCAAATGCTCAAACATGTTTCCATCCATGTCTCCCGAGCACTCAGCTAGAGACCCCAGGCAGCGTGGCAAGATCCCCAACGGTGTGCGTAAGCCTAAACGACAAGAGCGGTCCACTCTGGACGAGGCCTACCTGGCCTACTTGGCTGCTCATGCCAGCCAAAGCAGCGAGGCGGGTAACTGTCGGCCCCAACCTGTCAATTCTCAGGCCAGGCCTACCCCCTGCTGCTCTGCCACTCCCAACACTGACACACCAGTACCTACCAGGCAGGAGCCATGCTCCTCGCCGGATGAGGCCACTAGCGATACCTCTACTCCACCATCTGAAAGGAGACCACGTCGGAGTAGCTGCCGTCCCGCAGAGGTCTACGAGGCATACCCTGCCTCCCAGGGTAGCTGTCCTGGTGCCGCTACTGATGAACACCAACATTCTGCTTTCACTCATACACAACTCACTGATGTCCAGTCCAGTGAGACCACTCGCACGTCTTCGGCACCAGCCCACAGCCATACCCCTTCTGCCATTCAGTCCACTGAGAGTGACAGCTCTCCACCTCTAATCAGACGCCCCCGACGTCGCATAAAACGGTCAGTACGCCATCGTACCCCCACCGCTATCTGCACCACGCCATCTCAGAGCAGCACTCCCACCAGCAACATCATTGCCTCCACTAGCAACATCCACCCTCCTATGCCAACCATAGCCGACACCGAGGTTTACAACAACGCTCCTGACCCTCCTCCTAGCACTTCCACCACCAGCTCCAACCACCAGCCTTACAGCTGCACCGCCACCATCCCACCAGCCAGTCAGCCCTCCACTAGCCCCCCAGCCTGGGTAATGGCTTGGAGAACACGCTTTGACTGTGCACTGGACGAGGACATGCTGGAGGACATGGTGCATGACTTAGTTGACTTGGCCCCTCAACGCCATATCCAGACCACCAACCGTCAACGTCGCCGTCACCCTCCGCCTAACCATCGCACCAACAACAGGCCACGGAGGTACAGCGCCGCAGAGGCCAGTAGACTACAACGCCTCTACAGGCTCAACAAACGTAAGGCCTTCGAAGAGGTCACCCATGGCAACGAGCGTTTCTGTCAAATAGACAATATAGCTCTAACCAACCACTTTTCTAAAGTCTACAGCCAGGGTGTTCAGACCGCACCACTTACCAATCTACTGCCATCTCCACTTGTCCCAGCTACTGACGACCCTCTTACTGGCACTTTCACTCCTGACGAGGTTGCCAGCAGGCTTGCCAGGTGCCACAACACTACCCCTGGTCCTGATGGTGTCCGTTACCACACCTGGCGGCGTCTCGACCCACAGGGCCACATCCTGGCAGCCCTCTTCAATGCGGTTCAATGCATTGGTGTCGTCCCCACTAGCTGGAAGACATCAACCACCATCCTCATACACAAAAAAGGTGACCGTAACGAGGTAAGCAATTGGAGGCCCATAGCGTTAGCCAACACGCTTGGGAAACTCTACTCCGCTTGCCTCGCCGACTGACTCCTGCGCTGGTGTGAACAGAACGACACCATCTCCACCGCGCAGAAAGGATTTGTAAGGTTCGATGGCTGTTCAGAGCACACATTCACGCTCCAGTCGGTGATCCAGGATGCCCGGCGTAAAAACAAAGAGTGCCACGTCGCCTGGCTCGACCTTGCAAACGCCTTTGGTTCGGTGCCTCATGCCACCATCATCAGTTGCCTCAAATGGTGCGGTCTAGCAGCCCCCTCCATCCAGGTGATCGAGGACCTACTACATGGCTGCCACACTCGGATCCGGTCCAGCTCAGGTCTTACTGACCCAATCCCCATCTTGGCGGGGGTAAAACAGGGCTGCCCGCTTAGCCCGATACTCTTTAATTTAGTCGTAGAACCAGTGCTTCGGATGCTATCAGGACTTCAGACTGGTTATTCTATTCACGGGCGCAGCATCTCCGTATTGGCTTATGCGGACGACATTACCATCACCAGCCCTACCGTCAGTGGACTACAACAGCAACTGAACCTCCTTACCTCCTGGGCCATCCACAGCGGTCTGACCTTTAATCCCGCCAAATGTGCCACCCTCTCGATAACTGGCAAGTACTACTGCACCGATCACCGCTTTAAAATCCAAGAGACAGACATTACCATACTTCAGAAGCATGACCACTATATGCACTTGGGAGTCCCCACGGGCTTTACCATCGGGAAGTCCGCCACTGCTGTCGTTGAAGGAATCCTCAACGACCTGAAACTTGTCGACAATTCCTGCCTGGCGCCATGGCAGAAAATCGACAGCATCAACACTTTTTTGACATCTCGCCTTGTCTTCCACCTCACACTGGGCAACGTCTCCAAAAAAGCGCTCAACAACCTTGACAAAAACATCAAGAGGTACGTTAAAAGATGGATGAACCTCCCACAGCGTGCTTCACCGGAGGTCGTCCACATGCCTAACGCTCAAGGAGGCGTTAACGTCTCGCCATGCACTATACTCGCCGATGTTGCACAAGTGAGTCATGCGGTTAATCTTTTCCTATCTAGAGACCATGACGTCACCAGCCTCGCCACCAATACACTTAAGAAAGTGGTAGAGAAACGTCTTCGGCGTGTGCCAAGCGATACCGACTTATGCACCTACCTGGCTGGATCCATGGAGGGCGAGTTTGGATGTGACCCATACGACATCCCCTCCCTCTGGACCCGGCTCAGGATGGCCACACGTCGGCTACGCACCCGCATTAACATCGAATGGCACCCCAATGATGTCGGAACTCTTACTCCTTCTGTTCACGGCAAACTTCTAAACAAAACCAATACAGCTAGCTCCATCACCAACGCTATCAAGTCCACCTTTCTGACGGCCCTACTGCATAAGCCTGATCAAGGCAAGGCTTTTCGCCTGACCGCAGGCAACCCGAATTCTAACCACTTCCTCTGGGACGGCAACTTTGTCAGCTTCGCCGACTGGAGGTTCGTACACCAAGCTAGACTCAGCGTTGTCCCTCTCCGTGGCCACTGCCGTTTCGGCAACGCATCTCAGAACTGCTTTCGCTGTCAAAGGCACAGAGAGACATTGGCACATGTGATTAATCACTGTCCGCCTAATTTCTCCCTCATCACCAAGAGGCACAATGCCATACTTAACCGCCTCCTAAATGCCTTTGACTGCAAACACGCAACCGTATATACAAACCAACGTGTCCCAGGATATACAGGAAACTGCAGGCCCGACATCGTCATCATCAACCAGTCACCAAAAACAGCAACCATCGTCGATGTGGCCACACCGTTTGAGAACGGCGAAGATGCATTCAACAATGCCCGCAAGGAGAAAGTCCAGAAATACGCAGACCTCGCCGCCTACTTCCGAGACCAGGGCTTCGACACCTTCATCGACGCCTTCGTCGTTGGCGCACTTGGAGGATACGACGCCGCCAACGAGGGAGTCATCCAACGCCTGGGCATCTCTAGACGGTACGCCAAACTCATGCGCTTCCTTATGGTGAGCGACTGCATCAAGTGGAGTAAGGACATCTATATGCAGCACCTCCTCGGTCGTCGCCAGCCCTAATCACTCTACCACTCCGCGTCTCAACCTCTGTATTGTGTACCACAGGCCAGTGCCCTTGTAACCGCGTTTTCTGCACAACTTTGTACATATCCGGCAGGCCAGTGCCCTTGTAATCGCGATTCTCCCACCACTCTGTACATATCAGGCTAGAGCCCTTGGAACGCGTAGAGGGTCCCACCCTCACATCTTAATCTTTACTACTCTTATGTATCTCGCTAGCTGGCTACGTGCCCATGTTTATAACTACTTATCTAATTTACTCTACTGTATATAATTATTGTTTACAATAAATAGCTTTTAAATCTGTTCTTATCAGCTTGATGATCTAAGCCTAAAACAGCACCAGACCTGGATTTCGAGCCCCACATCGCTCCCCAGTCCTCTGGGTAAGTATATTTGGTTTTACTAACTTCTCTTTTCTCTACCCTCCTCTCTTCCGCCAGAAGAGCGGCCTGCACGGTTTAAACGCACCGTGTATTCGCTGCTCGACTGGCAACACTTCTATCTATCGTTACCAGCTAAGGCTGGTAGCTTTTCCCGGTGTTCCGCTTGGACACCCTGTGGCCCCCAAGGCCTGTGGTGTTTCCCTGAGGACACCTTCTTTCTTCCTTTTCCTGCCCCTCCTTGGTTGGCTGCTCTGCACCCCAGGGGGCACTTCCGCTCTTTTCCCCTCCACCACTCTACACATTTGATCTTCGATGGCTGCACCTAACATCTCTGTGCTAGTTCCACTCCAGCCATTTCACCCATGCCAACTTTGTCTGCCAATCCCGCGCCAATACATCGACCACGCGGGACTGGTTAGGCACCTTAAGCGTGAACACAATGTCACGCTGTCCTTCGAATGCCGAGCTTGCGGTCTTATCCAGGACAAGTTGAAGACGCTTAAACACCACCAACAGCGCTCTGACTCGTGCCGCTCATGCATTGAGGCGCTGTCTCCTCCAACCCCTCCTCCACCAGTGAGCCGTCGCATCCGCATCCCGCTCAGACCGAGGAAGACTTATCAACGAAGGACCATTCGCCCACCCAACAGCTCCACTCCGAGTTCCAGTGTGCAGCCTACTGACAACTGCCCGTCAAGCTCCACCAGCAAGCACACCAGAAGGACTACACGCTCCAGTGACCGGACCATTGTGCACCCCGCACTGTCATCACCTGCACCTGCCCTCACACCTGCCCCCAGCAGTCCTATCTTTACAGGTGTCACCACTCCGTCACCGGCCGGCCGTCAACGCAGCCGTCCATCTCCTGCCGTTCCAATTTGCCAGTCCACACCCCCCATGGCTCCTCCACCACCGTCTTTGCCTCCAGCGGTCCAACTGCCATCCCCTGGACCAGACACTGGGTCGCCTCTGGCCTGGAACGCTCGCACTAATGCCATGACTTGCACTCCTCCGACTACGGCCCCTGTGGCGCCTCCTCGCACCCCCGACCAGATGGACTCTCAGCCCGCACCTAGTTCGGTCACCGCCTGGTGCGACAGATTCAGCGTCGCGCTCGACGAGGACATGTTGGACAATATGGTGGACGACCTGGTCACACTCGCCCACAACATCTGTAACGTGTCGCCCTACCGTCCTCCTCTGAACGGCGACCACCCCTCAAGGGACATCACCAACGACGCAAGGCTAATCCAATGCCTTTACCGGAGAAACAGGACTAAAGCCGTCTCTATCATTACTGATGGACAGCCTACCTACTGTCGCATAGACAGAAGTTTCGTGCAACAACACTTCACCACCATCTATGCTAACACCCTACACTCATGTGGGTCCTATCCTTCCTTTCTCCCTACAGCCCACAAGCCAACCGACGACAACCCTCTAGTGGCTGCATTTTCTCCCGCCGAAGTCAGCACAAGGCTCCAACGAAGCCACAACACGGCGCCCGGACCAGATGGCCTCAGGTACCATCATTGGCTCAGGACCTATCCAAAGGGTATCATCTTGTGCAGCGCTTTCAACGCCGCTCTCCGTCTCCTACACATCCCCTCCAACTGGAGGCACTCTAACACAATTCTTATTCACAAGCGTGGCGACCAACATCAAATCGACAACTGGAGACCAATTGCGCTCTCCAACACCTTCGGCAAAACCTTCTCGGCGTGCCTTGCCAGCAGATTCCTGTCGTGGTGTACCACCAACAACATCTTCTCTGGCGCTCAAAAAGGCTTCCTTCGCCACGAGGGGTGCTTCGATCATAGTTTTCTTTTACAGGCTATTATCCAAATAGCAAGAAGGACGCGGAGCAACTGCCATATCGCATGGCTCGACCTGGCCAACGCATTTGGTTCTGTTCCGCACGACACCATCCTCGCCTGCCTCCACTGGTGCGGACTTCACCCTGACAGCGTAAACGTCATTCGTGAACTGCTAAAAGACAACTTTACCAGCATCCGCGCCCACGACGGCTTGACAGAGAGCATTCCCATCAATTCTGGAGTTCGTCAGGGCTGTCCCCTCAGCCCCCTCCTGTTCAACGTAGTGGTCGAAACAGCGATCAGAAGCATCACTGAATTACATCACGGCTACAAACTCCATGGCGAAGAGATCAACATCTTAGCATACGCAGATGACCTAGTACTGATCAGCTCAACACCAGACGGGCTGCAACAACAACTAGATCGGCTTACAGATTGGGCCAAATGGGCAGGACTCAACTTCAAACCAGGTAAGTGTGCCACACTATCTGTCCTAGGTGAAAAGCACACCTCCAGCGATGACACCTTCACGCTCGACGGGCAACAACTTCCCAACCTCCAACGGGACGAATCCTACACTTACCTGGGCATCCCCACCGGCTTTTCTAACAAACACACCAACGACAGTGTGATCTCCAACCTGATTGAAGACATCTCTAAGCTGGACCGCGCCAAACTCGCCCCCTGGCAAAAGTTTGACGCGCTAAACACCATCCTGCTGCCCAAATTGACTTTTCATCTACTTCTAGGCACCAATCCAAAAAAGAGACTTTACGACTTCGACCGCCACATAAAAAAGTGCGCTAAACGATGGCTCAACCTGCCGCAGCGGGCAAGTCCTGAGCTCATCCACCTGTTCTACGACCGAGGTGGCACCAACATCCCGCCCTGTAGCAGTCTTGCGGACATCTGTCAACTTACGCACGCCGCCCACCTCTTCGACTCCAGGGACCCGATGGTCACCGCCATTGCTCTAGGTACTCTACGCAACGTAGTAAGACATCGCATCCGTAGAGTGCCGACAGACGATGACATCAGAGCATTCCTCGACGGATCCATGGAAGGAGACATAGGCCTACCATCGAAAGACATCACCTCTTCCTGGGCCAGACTGCATGCTGCCACAAGACGCTTGCGCAAAAACATCAACATCTCATGGCACTACACGGGCACTTCGTTCGTCCTGACCACTGGTGGAAACATCATCCCACGTCACGCCTGTACCAAAGTTCTAACGGCCATGGTGAAATCTGCCACCCGGATCAGGGTAAGTCATTCCATCTCATTGCAGGTCACCCCACCAGCAACCACTTCCTTAGAGACGGGCTGTACACTTCATTTGCGGACTGGCGATTTGTACATCGAGCCCGTCTCAGTGTGGTCCCGCTCAATGGCCTACGACGCTTTGGCAACATGTCAAAGAAGTGTCGCCAGTGCAGCCACTCCAATGAGACACTTGCGCACGTCCTAAATCACTGTGGCCCCAACCTACGACTAGCCACACAACGCCACAACTCTGTCCTCAACCGCTTATTCCATGCCATCAACAACCAGGACTTGAAAATCTTCTGTAATCAGAAGATCCCAGGGTTCGACGACCGCTGCCACCCCGACCTAGTCAAAATCTGCGAGAGAACCAAGACTGCAACAATCATTGATGTGGCTGTCCTTTTTGAAAACGGACAGAACGCGTTCAACGCAGCCAGGGACATGAAAATAAGCAAGTATTTTGCCCTCACTCAACATTACGTCAACAGGGCTATGATACTTATTGCGACACTTTCATCGTGGGCTCCCTTGGTGGATTCAACCCGGCTAACATCTCTGTCATTCAGCGCCTCGGCATAAGCCGTAAGTATGCCAAAATGATGACCAAATTAATGGTCAGTGACTGCATAAGGTGGAGTCGCGAAATATACTGTAACCACCTAAGATACGGCCGTCGCAACCACTAAATTGCTCTGTATAGTCTATGTACATACTTTGTCGCGTTATTGCATCATGGTTGGATTTGTGCCCCCAGCCATGATTACGCTCTGTTCTTATTTCTATTGTATCATACATCCTGGCTGGCTATGTGCCCTTGGCCGCGATCACCATCCTCTATGTTACACACCTTACACCTTGGTTTTGTTCATCATCACGGCAGGCTATGAGCCCATGGTCGCGATCGCCATTACCTCTACTTGTATATATCTCTCCATATGTTCACATTTACCCTCTAAAACCCCTTTTGTACTGATTTTTAAGATTTAAATAAATCATTTTCAAATCTGCGTCCATTCTGGTAAGTTTATTTTAGTCTTACGTCTATTTTACTGTTCTTTTATATTCTAACTTCTGTCAAGAGATCTGCCTGCACGATTGAAACACATCGTGTATTCGCGGATCAATTGACAAAACTGTCACTATCGAGGGGCGAGCAACCTACTGCGACCCCCCCAACTAACTTTTCCTTCTTTCCCCCGCCTCTTCTGAGCTTCTCTTCCAGGAGGCAAAAGTACCTTTTCGTGTTTTTCTACTCCATTTGATCTTAGTTAACCGCCGTGCCTTACCGTATACACCCTATTATACTGTGTGTGCTACCTATCGCTGGATATTCTCAGTATTGTGTTTTCTGCCTACCAACCACCTTTAGTGAATTACCTTAAGTGGTTTCACGGGTTCTTGTCCCACTGTGGCTACACGGTTTGGTCACCCCTGTGTCGTCAAGGTGTTCGCGTGCCCTATACCATCTGGCGATTGTGTCTCTACTTGTGCTAAGATGGACACCCCGTCGACCTCCCGCAACTACGCCACAGCAGCATCACTATCTCGCGTAGCCCCTACGCCTGATGTGTTGCATGGACCGGATGGATATTACAATGAGGACGACTGCAACGAACCTACTGTGTCCCTCGGCGCTCCCCACAGTGATGGCCCAGACAACGAATGTATGGATGATGTCACCGAGACGAATTCAGTGCCCTCCATTACACCGGTAAATGGACCAAAGGAGGATCCACCAATTCCTGATGAAGAAAAGATAAAAAACTATACTACTGTTCGATCTGTAAGGATTATCGCGAACGAACAATTACAAGTGTCGGACATTATCACCGCTTGTGAAGAAATAACTGGTAATTTAGGTGAAGTAGAGCAGGTATGCTTCAAACCTAATAAAGTAGTAGAGATTGGCCTCACGACTGTCGAAGCCAAAGAAAAGCTATTAGGACATAATCTAAAGGTAGGTGATTTGAACTATATTTGTGAAAGTCTGGAGGAGGGTCTATTGCTCGTTACTGTAAGATTCGTTCCGAATGAAGCAGACAAAGATGCTGTGAAAAGCGTATTATCACAATATGGCAAAGTCAATAAGGTCCTAGTTCATACGGTCACAATTGACAATAGGAAAATCAAAACCGGTACTTATAGAGTGATAATTAAAACCCGTAAGCTTCTCCCCAACTACTTAGAAATTTTAGGGAATAAGGTCGAACTCATATACAATGGCAGAAAAAAACAGTGTTGGCGTTGCGGTAGCGTATCGCATGAAATCAAAGAATGCCCAGTCAAACTCTGCCATAGATGCAAAAGCCCTCACCACCTGGTGAAGAACTGCCCGGCTTGCTACTGTTGCCAGAAAGTACATAGCATGACAGACGAATGTCCTGAACTATCTTTAACTGAGGTTTGCAAATCAGGCGCCAGAAACAAAGAAAAACAAAGAAAAAGGGAGAAAAGCCTAGAGAGGTTGAAATCCCAAACAGTAAATAACAATGAAGAAAAACGAGAATAGAGACAACGAGGGTGAAAAAGAAAATAGTGATAATGAGGATGAAAAAGAGAACAATCATGAACAGGACAGCCAGGAAATAAAAAAAGTCAATAAGGGGATTAAAAAAGTAGGTGAAACACAAATTGAGAAGGAGGATAATATACAGAATATAGAAAATGAGGGGGGGAAAACAAATAATAAAGAATCCGACAATAGTCTTGAAGACAGGATAGAGGAAAATAAAAACGCGGCAATAGTAAGAGAAAAAATCTTATCAATAAGTTTAGATGCTACTTTATCCAAAGACGAAATCATCGAAGAGGTAGAAAAAATAATAGTTAAAAAAGACAAGAAAAAAACTAGAAAAAGCAAAAGAGTGATCTCTCAGAATAACAAAAATAACATTCAAGTATAATAACCTAAATATTAAATCCATTAATATCTCCGGATTTCGAGATGAAGTACAGCAGATTTACCTTCTTAATCTTGTCATCACGCAACACACTGATATCCTTTTAATTCAAGATACCAATATGTATGATTTTCAAGACCTTAGAAAATTAAGAAAACTATTTGCTCAGTTTAATATCTATATCTCTTTCGCCCCTAGACGAGGCACGGGAGTCATCACAATGATACATAAAAATATCAGTGTGAACGACTTCAGGACAGATACTAACGGTAGAGTCCTTTCAGTTGATATCAATATAAATAATAAACTCATAAGGGTTGTCAATCTTTATGCTCCTCCGCAGTTAACTGACCGCAAGCACCTGTTCTCCTTCGTCCCTAACTATCTTATAGGAGGAAGAGAACTACTGATAGCCGGAGATTTCAACTGTGTACTCACACAACTCGACAAAAACGCTTGCCTTTACCCAGACGGCTTCCGCAAGATAATCAGCGATCTAATCTCTTGCTATGAGCTCAGAGATGCTTACAGGTCTAAATACCCACTTTATAAAGGTTATACATGGGAAGGAAAAGGAATAAAAGAACGTCTTGATAGGATTTATCTCAGCAAGCATATTGGTAAAATAAATAACATAAGCATCAACTTTCTCAACAACAACAGCAAGAAACTATCTGATCACAAACTGATTAGCTTGGATATCAATTGTTACTACAAGAAAAGCAGATATAACAAAATCAAAATAAATTACACCATCCTACAAGACAACACCTTCCAGAAAGACATCAAAAGTATCCTTGATAAGAATAAATCTGATATAAACTGGCAGAATTGGCAAGAAATCAAAAACATAATCACCTCTATCGCCAACAATGCATGGCTCAGAATCAAACATAATAACTTCAACAAGATAAAACACCTCCAAAAGGAACTCAGCAGAAAAATTACAGACAATAATAGAGAAGCTGCTCTGGCTATAGAAAATGATATCAGTAATGAATATGAAAACAAAATAAAGGACAGTTACATCAACTACAGGATGAGCAAATTAGGTATAGAAAGGCATACTGAAAAAATCGTTTTTAAAAAGAAAATCAAACCCAACAAATCTCTAACATTAAACAGCATTATTGTAAACGGCATCCATATTCCCGATGATAAACGCATCCTTGAAGAATTTCACAAATTCGACACAAACCTCTATAAACATCCGTCGACCAATGGGCCATCTGGGAACAAATAAGTGACAGCATTCAACCTATAAAAAACAGGAGTGAAGACATCATTAACAACACGATATCCAAAGAAGAGATCAAAAATGCAATCGATCAACTCCATCTCAGGAAAGCACCAGGCATAGACGGCCTGCCAGCCGAGATCTACCGTTTCTACAAAGACGATTTCGCTGACATCCTATTCACACTATACAATAGCGAGACCTTTAGTGAAGACTTCAATATTGGCAGGATGAATTTAATCAATAAAAAGGGCAATAACAAAGGTAGTGTTGGGAATTATAGGCCCATAACTATTCTAAATACTGACTATAAAATTTATAGCATCATAATAGCCAACAGACTGGAAAGCATTTTTCGCAATAACATAAGCACCACCCAAACAGCTGGAATAAAAGATCGCACGATACAAAACAACACAATTTTCTTAACCTCATACAGGACATCTATTCTAAAAGAAAGACCCCGCTCTCTGTTCTCTCTATCGACGTCGAAAAGGCGTTCGATACTGTAAATAGAGAAATTCTGTAGAAAATCCTTACTACCTTCGGCCTGAATGACAAAGAAATTAAATACATTCAAACTCTATATAAAAACCCTCAAACTAAAATTACCATCAATAATAATGACTCTGAATTTATCAAATGTGAAGCGGGAGTACGGCAGGGCTGTCCCTGCTCGATGATCTTGTTTGCAATCTATATAGAGGGTCTCCTCACCTCAATAAAGCAAGACAACCTAATCACCCCCATATACCTCCCTGGCATGGTTGATAAAATCAAATATGTCGCTCACGCGGACGATCTAAACTTTTTTATAAACGACAACGTCTCTTTGAACAGAATAACACAGAAACTAAACATGTTCTGCAAGCTTACTGGCATGAAAATAAATCACAACAAAAGTAAGATAATAAACATTTATGGCCATATCAAACTCGACAGCACATCCTTTAGCATCGTCAACAACATCAAAATCTTAAAAGTTTGGCTGGGCAACAACAGCAAGAACTACAATCTGAAGGACATGACTAACAAGATCAAAAATGCCATCAAAAACTGGGAAAAAATCTGGCTTTACCTACCAGAACGGATTATTATTGCTAACAAAGTTTTAATAGCTAAAATCATGTATACGCTATATACTACTAACCTACGTAAACAAGACACTAGGACCATTGACAAACTCATTTATGCCTATATCTGGCAAAGCGATTTTGAACCGGTGGGGAGAAACATCATGTGGAATGACTTCAACCAAGGCGGGTGGCGTGTTTGGGACATAAAGTCCCTAGAACAATCTCTGCAGATCTCAAACCTATTGAACTCAATCAACACTCAGCTCCATCCTCTAAAAGATGTGGCACTCTATATCCTCGGCTCATCCATCAGGCAGCACCCTATCAATCTACCTAATAGACCCTTCCTCATGGACAACAATCAACGCTTTAGCGCCTGGAGATCAATAACTAAAATCCTAATAAAAAATGGCCAGGCACACGATAAAATCATTCCAAGCACGATTTACAGGAGCATACACGAACAAAGTTATAACATCAACCTAAATGACAGCAGTGTCTCTTGGGACGAAACATGGATGAACCTTGGCAGGTTGCCTGCAGAATGGCGAGAAACTGCATCGCGGGTCATAAGTAACGCAATGATGACCAAGGAATATCTACACTACTACCATCGATTATCCAATGCCCGCTGCCCTCGTTGCAACAAAGATGAAAGCACTGCTCATCTTTTGTTCGAATGCTCACTTGCCAACCAAATATGGAAATGGTTCTACAAAATCTTTAAAGTTGACCTTACATGGTACACTATCAAGTACCACATGAACTTTCCGATCACCAACCAAAACTCCTACTGCATCAACTGGCTTATAGCACTCGCCAAACGAATCATTTGAAAAGCGAGATGTGCACTATATTACGATAAAAAAAGGTGGAATTCAATCATCACAATCAATAAAATTAAAAAAGAAGCCAATCTCAAACTACACACCGATCAAAAACTTTTTACCGACAAGGAATTTCAAACCCTTTACCACAATACCATAAACATAATATGGAAAAAAGTGAACGGTATCTATATCTTCAATGATGATTGGACGTAGTCACTATTTTTGTCTGTCTCTGACTCAATGCTGACAACAGCATTGGTGGCAAATCAGTCTCTATATACCTGAACTTTATCTCATACCTGCAACTATGTAATATTGTTATTAATACCTGACACTGTATATGTAGCAACGCGCTCCGGTAATCACCATGTAATCGATATGTACCATGTTATTAAATAAATTTAATTTGTACCATGTTAACTCACCAATCCGAATCATAATGCCCCTCTCTACATATAATTTGTATCCTTTCCGTTCACTAGTTCTGTAATAAATCTGAATATGACATTTATGTAATATCAAACTGTATACAAGCATGATCAATGTGTTGTACGCTCAATTGTATCTCTTATATAATAATAATAAACTTTAATTAAAACCTTACTAAGCTTTCCACTTGTAACAAGAAATGCAGGTGTACGCTCCGTAATGATTTGTTTTTGCAACGTTTCGACAAACTTCACATTAATGTGTTGGAAGAGCTACAGAACCATCAGAAAAAAAAATTACTTATTATCTCGTAAGCATGGGCCATTAGTTTTAGACATGTGACTTTAACTGATAAAAAAAACTACCGACATTAATCAATCCAGTCCGTTATATGGACGATCTGCAAAAAAGGCACTCCACACCGGCATATCGCCATACAAACTCCACACAGTTGAACTTCTATGCAAAATTGCTTTTACTTACATGTTAAACTCACGAACACCGCGAGGAAAAAAAGTTTTCTGCTCGTGTATGGTATTCAGCAGTTTCAACTAGTTAATGTTACATAACATCGATAACAATCGTTGGTAGCCATATACTAAATTTACTACAGTAATCAGACTATATCGAGCAACGCGTAGTCTATAATAAGAATCGACTAGCTGTATGGATAGTTACTATTTATTTAAGTCTTATCTGCTATTTGTTATGAGAGAAGATTAAAGACCATCCAGCAAAGTAATAAAAGAAATACCTTACGATGTATGCAACTATAATTGTGTATAAAACTTGATTCACATTTTCCGAAGTATAAAGAAATAGAGTTAAGCAAATATTTTTTTATATAAACATCGTTATAGTTAATTATAATTAACTTACTACCATCCTCATTGTCTTCACTTTTTAAACTTTAATTCATTAAAGAAGAGTTCTTTAAGTGAAAATCGCCCATCATTTTCTGGCAAACTGTAATTTATTTATAAATGACTGAATTAAATGCTTACATCTTTTTATAATATAAGAAAGTAAGCATACCTATTTAATATAAGTTAAAAAATAATAAACACAAAAATATCCAAATGATTTCGACTTCAGTTAAAGTACTGTCGTTTGCAACACCCGATGCTGCTGCTCGTATAAATTCCATTGAATGTTTAAATTTTTTGCATAAAATGACGACACTATTGTCAATTAAGATAATATAAATTCAATTTTTTCAGCAATAAAATTTTTATTATATGTGAACACGTTATAATATTTAAAATTGATATATGAAGACTTTGCTTACAGAGATGTGTTAAACCAATGGCGTAGTCCGTTTGATTTGAAACGGACTATGTCATCGGTTTTTTCATCTAAAAGTATTAAAGCAGTATTGACATACAATCTTCTGCACCTTCGGCGCCTTGCGGACTTACCAGTGTGTCCTAACTGCGACAAAAAGGAAACAACACAACACTTCTGAGTCGACATACCCCGTCGCACCCTTCGTATGACTCTGTTTCTAAACACCGGTCTGACTCGCTCATCAACCCCGATCTACTGACCATCATCAATGACATCGACCGATAAGCGAGTGGGTGCCTTGGAACAATACATTAGACACACGGGTCGCCCGAATTAACTACAAGCGGCGACAAATCGGAGAACATAGCGCAAGAGGCTGCAATCTCTAGATGAACCCTATGACAAGACAAGAGTCAAGAAGAGACATACAATGTGCTTATTGCATTTCGTTCTTACTTTTTTACTTGACAATTTAAGAATTAAGAACATTTATTGGTTTGCAATTTCAAAAAAACCTATAAATTCTCACTGTCGTCCATACATCTGTCTTTCCTTAAGCAAATGGTAATGACAATGTTCTCCACTTTCAGTGAAAAAAGTGCTATAAGATTCGAAGAAAAACGTTGATCTATAAATAAACGATGGCCATTACAGAATCATAATAGATATATTCTTTTGTATATTGTAGAAGAGTCGTAGTGGTTTGGGCCATACTGATCACGAATCTTAATTAAATTAATTTTATTTTAACAATAAGTTTAATATATTCCGTTTAATTATTATAAAATTAAGTTGTACTAATTTGTAATACCGTAGAGCTTTGATTATCCGATCTTCGATTAACCGTCACCTCGATTAGCCGAGAGTTATAGTCGGCAAATTTTAAATGTCTGCTAGTGATGTGGCGCTACAATATTTGGCTATGTATTGGCTACTTTAATATTATTTTTACGTGTTTTAGCTGGCAACACTGGATCGACCATGAAAGAGAGCCAGTATTTAAACGAAGCTTAATTTTCTAATTTTTAACGATACAATAGCGACGATAATTATTTTAAAAAATTTTTGTTAAACTTAACATCGATGAAAATTCAACGCGAAGTAGGTTAATAGTGATATACTAACATACTAATTACATGGGATATAATAATGTACAGTAGAGCGTCGTTTATCCGAATCAATTGGGAGCTGGGGTGGTTCAAATAACTGATATTTCAAATAACAAATAATGTACGAAAAAATATATTAATTTATCCCATGTTCAAATTTTTCTTTGTTGCGTGTCGCTTCGCGTTGAATTTTCGTCGATGTTAAGCCTAACGAAAGCTATTGTATCGTTAAAAATCATATTTTTATGTTGTACAAACAAAATATATATTGAAAAACATAAAAACAATAAAAAATTATACTTCAGAAGTTAATTTAGTATCAAAAACGTAAAATATTTGAGTAGCCCAAGACATAGCCAAAGATTAAAAGCGCCACAGCATAGGCGAAAATTTAAAATTGTCGACTGGAATTCCTTCGAATAACCGACGTTTCAGATAACCAACCTTCGGATTACCGACGCTCTACTGTACTACACTAATAATGGTTTTTTCATAATTTTCAGTTATCCGACCAACCCCAGTCCCTAATTAAATCGGATAATCGAGGCTCTACTGTAATAATTTTTTAAAATAAAAATTTGTTGAGTAAATTAAAACGTGNTAACCAGCTCGACCAACCTCCCACTGACAGCACGCCTGCTGCTCCTCCATCCTGGGTTATTGCCTGGAGAGACCGTTTCAACTGTGCCCTCGACATCGACATGCTCGAGGTCATGGTGGACGACCTCACGAACCTTGCACAAAGTATGGCTCCTCAACAACACCCTCAACGTAGTATCCACCAACACCAACGCCATCCGCATCATCCCAGACCCCAGGCCCAAGGGAATACCCGCCGTCAACAGAGGTACAACGCTGCTGAGGCCAGTAGGATCCAACGTCTCTACAGGGCCAACAAGCACAAGGCGTTTGAGGAGATCACTCGCGGCCCCAGCCGCTACTGTAACATCGGTGAGTCCACACTCATTAATCACTTTACTAACACCAGTGGTCGCCGTTCTGTCCCGCAGGATCAGCTAGCTGCTTCTCTCCCGCAACGCCCTCAGCCAACCACCAGTAATCCTCTCTGCGGTGAGTTCACGCCTGCCAAGGTCGCCAAACGCCTTGCCAAATGCCGGAACACTGCCCCTGGTCCCGATGGCGTTAGGTACTACATCTGGAAGTGCCTCGACCCCCAAGGGCACATCCTTTCGGCCCTTTTCAATGCCGTGCAGAGAATCGGTGCCACACCCTCCACGTGGAAGACGTCCACCACCATCCTTCTGCACAAGAAAGGCGACCAAGGCAACATCAACAATTGGAGGCCCATCGCCCTCGCCAACACCCTCGGCAAGGTCTACTCCGCCTGTATCGCAAGCCGTCTCCTGCGCTGGTGTGAGGAGAACAACATCATTTCCGCAGCGCAGAAGGGCTTCATGCGGTACGATGGGTGCTCCGAACACACTTTCACCTTACAATCTGCTATCCAGAATACCCGTCGCAAGAACCATGGGTGCCACGTGGCGTGGCTCGACCTCGCCAACGCCTTCGGGTCCGTGCCCCATGACACCATTTACACCTGCCTCGAGTGGTGCGGCCTCGACGAGTCCTCAATCCATTGCATCAAGGCCCTCCTTGATGGTTGCAACACCCGCATCCGATCAACTACTGGTCTGACCACTCCCATACCCATACTAGCTGGGGTCAAACAAGGGTGCCCATTGAGCCCCATCCTTTTTAACATCGTCGTCGAGCCGGCACTACGCCTCATCTCCGACCTAAAGCTGGGATACCATCTGCACAACCAATCCATATCCGTCTTGGCCTACGCGGATGACATTACAATCATCAGTGGTACCGCCAAAGGCCTCCAAACCCAGCTAGACCTCCTATCCACCTGGGCCCAAAACTGTGGCCTTACCTTCAAGCCAGCTAAATGTGCCACCCTCTCGATCGCCTCCAAATACCGCTGCGACGAAGATAGGCACTTCTCCATCCAGGACACCACCATCCCTCACCTGAAAAAAGATGACCATTACCACCATCTGGGGATACCGACCGGCTTCACCGTGGGGTGCTCCGCCGAAACTGTCATCGACGGGATCCTGACCAACCTAAAACACGTCGACAGTTCCCGCCTCGCCCCATGGCAGAAGATCGACTGCGTGAGTACCTTTTTAATATCCAGACTCACCTTTTACTTAATCCTCGGCAGTGTGCAAAAGAAATCATTAGGGAAGCTGGACAAATCCATCAAGCGTTATGTGAAGAAATGGATGTACCTGCCGCAACGTGCCAGTCCCGAAATCATCGCCATGCCACACGCCCAGGGAGGGGCCAACATCACCCCATGTGGCATCCTGGCCTACGTCGCGCAGGTAAGCCATGCTATTAACCTCCTTCATTCTAGAGACCCTGTCGTCGCTGCTCTCGCCGGGAACACCCTGCGTCTGGTCGTCGAAAAACGTATCAAACGGCCTCCCAGTGACGACGACGTCTGTACCTACCTGTCCGGGTCTATGGAAAACGAGTTTGGACTCGATCCATACGATATACCATCTGTCTGGACCCGGCTGCGTATGGCTACACATCGCCTGAAGAAATACATCGACCTGGTCTGGCAACCCAACGCAGACGGCACTTTCATCCCCTCCGTTAACGAAAAACCGCTCCAAAAAGCAACTGCCATGAAGTTCCTCTCCGACGCAGTCAAAGCTACTCTCCGCAAGCCCGACCAGGGAAAAACCTACCGTTTGATCGCACGTAACGCCAACAGTAACCACTTTCTACACGACGGCAGCTTCACCAGGTTTGCCGATTGGCGCTTCGTCCACCGTGCGAGGCTCAGGGTTGTACCACTTCGCGGCCTCCAGAGATTCGGCAACGCCTCCCAAAACTGTCGTCGGTGCCAGCGCCATTGTGAAACCCTGGCACATGTTGTGAATCACTGTCCGCCGAACTTTTCCCTAATAACTAAGCGCCATAACTCCATTCTAAATAGGCTCTACAACGCCATTGACCGCAGAAACCTCACAGTCTTCACCAACCAGAGGATCCCTGACTACCCAGGTACCTGCTGTCCTGATTTGGTCATCGTCAACAGTAACCCAAAAACCGCTACAATCGTCGACGTCGCCACCCCTTTTGAAAATGGGGAGGACGCCTTCGACCGCGCCCGCAACGAGAAGGTATCCAAGTACCGACCTGGCGAACTACTTCAAACGCAAAGGTTACGATACGTTCGTCGACGCCTTCATTGTTGGCGCCCTTGGCGGTTATGATGCCTCCAATGAGTGTGTATTACAACGGCTTGGCATCTCCAGAAGATACTCTAGACTGATGAAACGTCTCATGGTCAGCGACTGCATCAGGTGAAGTAGAGACATTTACACCAACCATCTGGGCAGCCGCTACCAGAACTAAGTCTCATTGTATACTCGCGTTTCACTTGTATCTGGCTACTGCCACTTTGGCTCTACGCCCATGTACTCGCGAATCTTTGTATTTTCTTTCGGCTGGCTGTGTGCCCTTGTCCACGCGTCTGAGGCTGAGCCTCCATTTGTATATTCTAACACCTTTAACCATATGTTGTCTTCCTGGCTGGCTATGTGCCCATGTGTCTACATTTCTTGCCTCCATTGGCTATCTTGTACATATTCAATTTATCAATAAATGGCTTTTAACTCTGTTCTTATCAGCTTAATGATCTTTGCCTAAAATTAGTACCAGACCTGGATTCNTGTTATTGTTACTCTGTTACTACTATATATGTACTTAATATAACTACTTCATATGACCTGATACAACATGAAAAATTACCTCTGTAAATATTATAAATATCCTCACTATCATAATATTGAATGTATTTATCCTTGTAAAAATTGTTTGTAAAATTATGTTGATGTACTTTACTCCCGGTAATGCTATTATGCGGGGCCGGGATATGTGTGTTCACACCTTAATAAAATAACGATTGATTGATTTGATGGAGTCCATCTATTCACCTCCCGGGACCAAAGGGTAAGTTCCATTGCACTTAATTTTCTCCGTAGTGTCGTCAAGAAGCGCATTTGTCGGGAACCCTCGCTGGAGGACCTATGTACCTATCTAAACGGGTCGACGGAGGGCGAGTTTGGTTCAGAGCCTACAGACATCACCTCAACATGGACACGCCTGCGCATGGCCACATGTCGACTACGGAAATCGCTGGACATCACCTGGGTCACCGCCGACGACAGCATCATAATCACCGCAGCAGGCAACCCGATCCCACGACACGCCACTTCCAAAGCCATCACTGCCATGGCTAAAAACCATCTTTTGAATCGCCTCCTGAGCAAGCCGGATCAGGGCAAAGCTATTAAACTCACTGCCCAACATCCGGCAAGTAACCACTTTCTCAGAGATGGTCGCTACACCTCTTTCGCCGACTGGAGGTTCATACACAGGGCTCGACTCAGCGTGGTCCCCCTGAATGGCCTCCGTCGGTTTGGCCAGTCCTCATCCAAATGTCGTCGTTGCAGCTACCCGAAAGAGACCCTCGCCCATGTGCTGAATCACTGCAACCGTAACCTACACCTTGCGACGGAGAGACACAACGCCATATTGGACAGACTACGACGCGCCATTCACGACAAAGACTTAATCATCCGCACCAATCAACGTGTTCCTGACTACGAGGGAAATTGTCGACCTGACATCGTGGCCATCGACGAAGCAACCAAAACAGCAACAATCGTGGACGTGGTGGTTCCCTTCGAAAATGGTCATGAAGCTTTCAACAACGCAAGACAGAAGAAAATCCAAAAATATCGCCCACTTACTCAACACTTCAGGACAAAGGGCTACGACACGTTCTGCGATGCTTTCGTCATTGGGTCACTTGGTGCCTATGACCCTGGCAACATCGCAGTGCTTCAACGTTTAGGAATTGGAAGAAACTACTCTAAACTCATGGCCAAACTAATGGTAAGTGACCCCATTAGATGGAGCCGTGAGATCTACATGCAACATCTAAACCGTGGACATTTCTACAACGAACAACGTCGACATCCTCCCTCAAATGGACAATCTCAACACAATCATCCAAGCCAAACATCCAGACCTGGCAACAACGATCGGCCACAAAGACACTATCCTGTTCGTGCCAACCAACGTTTGGACTCTGCCTAATCGGACGCCAGGCTTTATGCCTACTTGTGTACATAATTCTCCACATCCCTGTACTTTTCCAGCAGGCTAAGCGCCCATGTAAACCGCTTACTATGTATATATTTGGCTGGCTTTGTGCCCTTGTCGGGTTACTATTTATTCATTTATTCCTACCTCTTTATATCCATTTTCTGTAAATATTAAGGAATTTAAATAAAATCATCTGTTCTGTTCTTATCAGCTTGATGATCTTTGCCTAAATTAAGGACCAGACCTGGATTTCGAGCCTCACATCGCTCCCCAGTCCTCTGGGTAAGTATTTTTGGTTTACTTGTCTCTCTTTCCTCTATTCTTCTCTCTTCCGCTGGAAGAGCGGCCTGCACGGTTTAAACGCACCGTGTATTAGCTGCTCGACTGGCAACACTTCTGTCTATCATTACCAGCCAAGGCTGGTAGCTTTTCCCGGTGTTCCGCTTGGACACCCCGTGGCCCCCAAGGCCCGTGGTGTTTCCCTGAGGACACCTTCTTTCTTCCCCTTCCTGCCCCTCCTTGGTTGGCTGCTCTGCACCCCAGGGGGCACTTCCGCTCTTTTCCTCTCCACCACTCTACACATTTGATCTTCGATGGCTGCACCTAACATCTCTGTGCTAGTACCACATCTCTGTGTCTTCAGCCACCACACCCATGCCAACTTTGTCTGCCAATCCCGCGCCAATACATCGACCACGCGGGACTGGTTAGGCACCTTAAGCGTGAACACAATGTCACGCTGTCCTTCGAATGCCGAGCTTGCGGTCTTATTCAGGACAAGTTGAAGACGCTTAAACACCACCAACAGCGCTCCGACTCCTGCCGCTCCTGCATTGAGGCGCTGTCTCCTCCAGCCCCTCCTCCACCAGCGAGCCGTCGCATCCGTATCCCCCTCAGACCGAGGAAGACTTATCAACGAAGGACCGATCGCCCACCCAACAACTCCACTCCGAGTTCCAGTGTGCAGCCTACTGACAACCGCCCGTCAAGCTCCACTAGCAAACGCACCAGAAGGACTAAACGCTCCAGTGGCCGGGCCATTGTGTACCCCGCACCGCCATCACCTGGACCTGCCCTCGCGCCAGCCCCCGGCAGTCCTATCTTTACAGGTGTCACCACTCCGCCGTCGTCCATCTCCTGCCATTCCAGTCCGCCAGTCTACACCCCCCACGGCTCCTCCACCACCGTCTCCGCCTCCAGCGGTCCAACTACCATCCTCCGGACCAGATACCGTGTCGCCCCCGGCCTGGAACACTCGCGCTGATGTCACGACTTGTACTCCCCCGACTACGGCCCCTGTGGCGCCTCCTCGCACCCCCGACCAGATGGACTCTCAGCCCACACCTAGTTGGGTCACCGCCTGGTGCGACAGATTCAGCATCGCGCTCGACGAGGACATGTTAGACAAAATGGTGGACGACCTGGTCACACTCGCCCATAACATCTGTAACGTGTCGCCCTACCGCCCCTCTCTGAACGGCGACCGCCCCTCATGGGACATCACCAACGACACAAGGCTAATCCAACGCCTGTACCGGAGAAACAGGACTAAAGCCGTCTCTATCATTACTGATGGACAGCCTACCTACTGTCGCATAGACAGAAGTTTGGTGCAACAACACTTCACCACCATCTATGCTAACTCCCCACACTCATGTGGGTCCTATCCTTCCTTTCTCCCTACAGCCCACAAGCCAGCCGACGACAACCCGCTAGTGGCCGCATTTTCTCCTGCCGAAGTCAGCACAAGGCTCCAACGAAGCCACAACACGGCGCCCGGACCGGATGGCCTCAGGTACCATCACTGGCTCAGGACCGATCCAAAGGGTATCATCTTGTGTAGCGCTTTCAACGCCGCTCTTCGACTCCTACACATCCCCTCCAACTGGAGGCACTCTAACACAATTCTTATTCACAAGCGTGGCGACCAACATCAAATCGACAATTGGAGACCAATTGCGCTCTCCAACACCTTCGGCAAAACCTTCTCGGCGTGCCTTGCCAGCAGATTCCTGTCGTGGTGTACCACCAACAACATCTTCTCTGGCGCCCAAAAAGGCTTCCTTCGCCATGAGGGGTGCCTCGATCACAGTTTTCTTTTACAGACTATTATCCAAGATGCAAGAAGAACGCGAAGCAATTGCCACATTGCTTGGCTCGATTTGGCCAACGCATTTGGTTCCGTTCCGCATGACACCATCCTTGCCTGCCTCCACTGGTGCGGACTTCACCCCGACAGCGTAAACGTCATTCGTGAACTGCTAAGAGACAACTTTACCAGCATCCGCGCCCACGACAGCTTGACGGAGAGCATCCCCATAAATTCTGGAGTTTGTCAGGGCTGTCCCCTCAGCCCCCTCCTGTTCAACGTGGTGGTTGAAACAGCGATCAGAAGCGTCACCGAATTACATCACGGCTACAAACTCCATGGTGAAGAAATCAACATCTTAGCATACGCAGACGACCTTGTACTGATCAGCTCAACACCAGACGGGCTGCAACAACAGCTAGACCGGCTTACAGATTGGGCCAAATGGGCAGGACTCAACTTCAAACCAGGTAAGTGTGCCACATTATCTGTCCTAGGTGAAAGGCACACCACCAGTGATGACACCTTCACGCTCGACGGGCAACAACTTCCCAACCTCCAACGGGACGAATCCTACACTTACCTGGGCATCCCCACCGGCTTTTCTAACAAACACACCAATGACAGTGTGATCTCCAACCTGATTGAAGACATCTCTAAGCTGGACCGCGCCAAACTTGCCCCCTGGCAAAAGTTTGATGCGCTGAACACCATCCTGTTGCCCAAATTGACTTTTCATCTACTTTTAGGCACCAACCCAAAAAAGAGACTTCACGACCTCGACCGCCACATAAAAAAGTGTGCTAAACGATGGCTTAACCTGCCGCAGCGGGCAAGTCCTGAGCTCATCCACCTGCCCTACGACCGAGGCGGCACCAACATCACGCCCTGTAGCAGTCTTGCGGACATCTGTCAACTTACACACGCTGCCCACCTCTTCGACTCCAGGGACCCGACGGTCACCACCATTGCTCTAGGTACACTACGAAACGTAGTAAGACATCGCATCCGTAGAGTGCCAACGGACGAAGACATCAGAGCATTCCTCGATGGATCCATGGAAGGAGACATAGGCCTACCATCAAAAGATATCACCTCTTCTTGGGCCAGACTGCGTGCCGCCACAAGACGCTTGCGCAAAACCATTGACATCTCGTGGCACTACACGGGCACTTCGTTCGTCCTGACCACTGGTGGAAACATCATCCCACGTCACGCCTGTACCAAAGTTCTAATGGCCATGGTGAAATCTGCCACCCTCCACCAGCTACTGCAGAAACCGGATCAGGGTAAGTCATTCCATCTCATTGCAGGTCACCCCACCAGCAACCACTTCCTTAGAGACGGGCTGTACACTTCATTTGCGGACTGGCGATTTGTACATCGAGCCCGTCTCAGTGTGGTCCCGCTCAACGGCCTACGGCGCTTTGGCAACATGTCAAAGAAATGTCGCCAGTGCAGTCACTCCAATGAGACACTTGCGCACGTCCTAAATCACTGTGGCCCTAACCTACGGCTAGCCACACAACGCCACAACTCTGTCCTCAACCGCTTATTCCACGCCATCAACAACCAGGACTTAAAAATCTACTGTAATCAGAATATCCCAGGGTTCGACGACCGCTGCCGTCCCGACCTAGTCACCATCTGCGAGAGGACTAAGACTGCCACAATCATCGATGTGGCCGTCCCCTTCGAAAACGGACAGAACGCGTTCAACGTAGCCAGGGACATGAAAATAAGCAAGTATTCTGCCCTTACTCAACATCTACGTCAACAGGGTTACGATACTTATTGCGATGCTTTCATCATGGGCTCCCTTGGTGGATTCGACCCGGCCAACATCTCTGTCATTCAGCGTCTCGGCATAAGCCGTAAGTATGCCAAAATGATGACCAAATTAATGGTCAGTGACTGCATAAGGTGGAGTCGCGAAATATACTGTAACCACCTAAGATACGGCCGCCGCAACCACTAATTGCTCTGTATAGTCTATGTACATACTTTTGTCGCGTTGTCGCATCATGGCTGGCTATGTGCACCTAGCCATGATTACGCTCTGTTCCTATTTCTATTGTAACATACATCTTGGCTGGCTATGTGCCCTTGGCCGCGATCACCATACTCTATGTTACACACCCTACACTTTGGTTTTGTTTATCATCACGGCAGGCTATGAGCCCATGGTCGCGATCACCACTACCTCTACTTGTATATATCTCTCTATATGTTCACATTTACCCTCTAAAACCCCTTTTTGTACTGATTTTTAAGATTTAAATAAATCATTTTCAAATCTGTTCTTATCAGCTTAATTAGCCTGCTAACAGCTGATTTCTACGCCACCAAGATGACCTCCGGATTCCGAGCCGTTTGCTCCCCGACAGGTTGGTAAGTTATTTTTTACTTTTTTCTCTTTCCTATTACCCTTCCTACTTCTGCTGGAAGGGCGGCCTGCACTGTTTAAACGCACAGTGTATTCGCTGCCTGACCAGCAACCACTTTTCTGTCGCGGCGTGATCACCGATCACGACGCAACGTATACTTCCACTACTACCTGGGCCGACCCAAGCAGTAGTTCTTTCTTCCCCTTCCTGCCTCTCCTTGGTTGGCTGCTTCTAGCACCCCAGGAGGCACTTCCGCCCCTTTTTTCTCAACTGTCTATCTCTACAGTCTGAGTTCTGCTGCCAAGGAGGTAAGACCTGTCTCACTTTGCTCCAGACTTAGTTTTTCTGCTATCTGCTAATGTTAGGCCTACTTTTAGGCTTAGGTAGTGTATCTCCATAGTTTAGCATAGGGAGTTAGGGCTATTTTAGTCCTAGCTGTCGAGTTAGGCTTAGTTTTACTAAGCCTAACTTTTTTGGTGTTTTTATTTGTGAAAGTTTTGTGTTTTGGCAATCTCCATCTTGGCTTCCTCACCCTGTGGAGTACCAGTACAACGAGTGCAGCCATCTTGGATAGCCAGGGCCGGCCATTTTGGATTACCTCCTGGATACTTGTGTTTATGTCTAGTGATTGTGTAAGTGTTGTGTCTGTGTCATCATTGTGCAACAAGTGCTTCGTCTAGCCGTCTGGTTTGTGTTGGGTTTGGTGGACACCCTGGTCTGCCTTTGGTTTGTTTGGGGAGACCCGCTAAAGAGCAGACCAGTCGTCCCCCAGCCCTCCCAATTGACCACACCGACTGGTGTCAGAGTCGCACTTTTACAAGTGGGTAGCTCAGGTCTGTTAGACCTGACTCAGCCTGTGTACTCACCAGCTCATTGCTGGCTTTCCACTGACCAAGCTTTGCTTGGCTAGCTAGCTGTGGTCAGGACCCTTATTGGCTCCTGACACTGTCTTCTCTGGTGTCGTCGCATTCTGTTGGATTTTCTCGACTGTTTTGGGACTTATCACCAACTAACTTTGGATACAGCCTCTCAGCATATACCCCTAAAGGATTACTGAGGGACTTCTTCCTAGGACTTGATTTTGAACCACACCCAGCGTTTTCGTCATCTTCCCAGCTCACCAATTATAGTCAACTTTCTTTTCTTGCTTACACTAGACTTGGGACAGTACGTACCTTAGGATTACTAAGGATTATTTTTCTACGAAGCCTCTACAGTGGTGAGTAACTTTTACCCCGTTTTTAACTTTGTGGCACTACTTAGTTTTACTTTACTATGGGATCTACTGGTAAAGATGCTTTCTTAGACGAGGCCCATAAGGCCCTAGACGAGATTAAGGGATACTTCGCTTCCAACCCCAATGGTAAACTTTCGTCGAAAGAGAACTTACGGTATGTGACTGAACGCTTTAATAGAGTAATAAACTTAGCGAGTATAGCAATTGATAGCAACTGTATTTCTGAGAAATTGGAAAAGAGATTAAAGTCCTTAGTTACTAAGGACGACGTAAAGAAAATTGTCTCCGAACAAAATAACAGCGTAATCGCCTCACTCTCTGAAGTGAAAGAAGGAATGAGTAATCTAGTGAAATCGGTCAACAGAGTCGAGCCGTGTAATAGTAATGAGTCAACAAACAAGCGTTATAGCGACGTACTTAAACTAGGGAATAACTCCTCTCCCACTTTCTCGCCTTCTTCTCCACCCTCCCCGAGCTACACCGTGATAGTGTACAGTGACGACTCGAAAAACACCTCTGAGCAAACTAGAGATACCTTAATGAGAAAGATAAAACCTCAACAATTGGGGGTCGGAATTAGTCGTATAAGAAAGATTGGTAAGGGTGGCATCGCCGTGGATTGCCCCACGAAAGATTCAGCTCTAAGATTGGACGGGGAAATTTCTAAACAACGGGGCCTTGGTTCCAAATTTGCAGAAAAAAGTCACCCGTTAGTGAAATTAGCTAATGTTCCTAAATCTATCGAGGGAGAGGACATTTTACAATTTGTCTACCAACAAAATGAGGGTATAAAGTCTATGTTCAGCGAAAAGAAATTCAACGACAAGGTAAAAATAAAATTTTCCATGAAGCAACGTAACACGGAGTACATTTCCTGGGTCATAGAGGTAACACCAAAGCTAAGAGAACTGCTTCTAAAAGAAAAAAGAGTCAATTTGGAGTGGAATAGATGCCCTGTGTATGACTACCTTCCGGTTATACAATGTTTCAAGTGCCTTGCGTTCGGTCATAGGGCGAGCACCTGCACGGAGAGTGACAACACATGCAGTCACTGTGGGGAACATCATCTCTTCAGAGATTGCCCGAAGAAACAAGAGGCACCTAAATGTGTCAACTGTATTAAAGCTAAACACTCCAGAGTGGACCACAATTCAATGAGCACTGACTGCCCAATGCTCGCGCGGGCCAAATCCGAAGTGGCCCAAAGATTCGATTACTCCATCTAAGTTCTTCAATCTTCTCTGTATCAGCAGGACCATGCTATTTGTATTGTGATTCCTCCTGTGGTTTTTATGTTACTGCTTCTGTTTATCTGTGTACCTGCTACCGTAAGCGTTGTCCCAACGCTCCACCTGCTATTTTCATTGTCATATTTACCAATCGTTATTTGTATTACTGCACCTAGATCTGTATTGTTTATATTATTATTGTACTCCATGTATCTTTTATATTAGTTATCTATGTATTTTTCGACGTAATCACTATGTTCTATGTGATCAATGTATCATACGTCCTCAATGTATCCATATGTGTAACCCTACTGTATCTGTTGTACCTACCATTTCTACTGTTTACCTCCATATAATTGTCACATTTTATGTTATTGCACTACTTGTAATGCTAATTTTATGTTTACTATATCTGTATCTGTCTTATGTATTACCATTTTGTCCTCCTCTGTATGTTACTGTTTACGTTATCAACATGTATCGCGTCATTTTTGCTGCTACTTTAATGTATTCCATTTTATAACTGTATCCTGTACTTTTTTATGTATTTTTTATGTATTTTTAAATAAATGCCGATGCAGGACGCTCATGGGTCCCGTGACCCTAGGTTGCTCCTTTCCTTCTATCCTATCCAACTTTATTCCCCTTCGATCTAAACTCTTCTAAACCAACTTTATCTTCCTCCTTTTCTTGTCTTACCAGGCTATACCTATGAGTTTCGGCCTTGGTCTTTATCCACGTGTCTATCTCTACACATTTGATCCATGGCTACTTCTAGCAACCCAGCAGCTGTCACTCTGCTTGTGCTGCTTCGTCCCCCCTACCACTGCCTGGCCTGCCTACCTGTCTACCGGGATTATGTGGACCACGGGGCCTCTCTAGGCACCTCCGTCGTGTTCATGAGGGCCGCCTTAGTTTTGAATGCAGGATCTGCCATATCCGATCCGAGAAGTTGAAGGAGATAAAACTACATCAGGCACGCTCCACCAGCTGCGCAGAAGCACTCCCATCGATCTCGCCAAACCACTCTTGCAGGGATCCCAAACCACGAGGTAAGATCCACACAGGCGTGAGGCGACGCCTGAGGCAAAAAGACTACGGCATAGACGAGGCCTACCTCGCCTCCCAGGATGCAACCTACAACGCCCAGACTGACGACAGCTCCTGCAACCACCAGTTGAGCCCTCCAGCTACTGCGGCCAGTCCTACTCAAGGACTTTCTGCTCCTGTTCATGCCGACGCCACCCCTACAGTGCCACCTCCTGACACCAGCAGCCAGTCCCCTCGTTCCCAGCAGCCGAGCCCGGGAAGCGACAACTCTCCATTACCTCTGGTTCGACGCCCACGACGTCAACGGCAGCGCCAGCACCAGCGAAGGCGTAACTCTAACTCCACGGACAGTCAACCACGCCCTGCAGACACCAATGCTTTGGGCACCACCACCGAGCCAACCACTGCGCCGGTACCTACGCCAACTACCTCCACCCACGGTGCCGCCACCACTACGGACCATCCTACACCTGCTTCCAGCGCTCCACGAGACAACGCCCATTCGCAGGTACGTAACCAGCTCGACCAACCTCCCACTGACAGCACGCCTGCTGCTCCTCCATCCTGGGTTATTGCCTGGAGAGACCGTTTCAACTGTGCCCTCGACATCGACATGCTCGAGGTCATGGTGGACGACCTCACGAACCTTGCACAAAGTATGGCTCCTCAACAACACCCTCAACGTAGTATCCACCAACACCAACGCCATCCGCATCATCCCAGACCCCAGGCCCAAGGGAATACCCGCCGTCAACAGAGGTACAACGCTGCTGAGGCCAGTAGGATCCAACGTCTCTACAGGGCCAACAAGCACAAGGCGTTTGAGGAGATCACTCGCGGCCCCAGCCGCTACTGTAACATCGGTGAGTCCACACTCATTAATCACTTTACTAACACCAGTGGTCGCCGTTCTGTCCCGCAGGATCAGCTAGCTGCTTCTCTCCCGCAACGCCCTCAGCCAACCACCAGTAATCCTCTCTGCGGTGAGTTCACGCCTGCCAAGGTCGCCAAACGCCTTGCCAAATGCCGGAACACTGCCCCTGGTCCCGATGGCGTTAGGTACTACATCTGGAAGCGCCTCGACCCCCAAGGGCACATCCTTTCGGCCCTTTTCAATGCCGTGCAGAGAATCGGCGCCACACCCTCCACGTGGAAGACGTCCACCACCATCCTTCTGCACAAGAAAGGCGACCAAGGCAACATCAACAATTGGAGGCCCATCGCCCTCGCCAACACCCTCGGCAAGGTCTACTCCGCCTGTATCGCAAGCCGTCTCCTGCGCTGGTGTGAGGAGAACAACATCATTTCCGCAGCGCAGAAGGGCTTCATGCGGTACGATGGGTGCTCCGAACACACTTTCACCTTACAATCTGCTATCCAGAATACCCGTCGCAAGAACCATGGGTGCCACGTGGCGTGGCTCGACCTCGCCAACGCCTTCGGGTCCGTGCCCCATGACACCATTTACACCTGCCTCGAGTGGTGCGGCCTCGACGAGTCCTCAATCCATTGCATCAAGGCCCTCCTTGATGGTTGCAACACCCGCATCCGATCAACTACTGGTCTGACCACTCCCATACCCATACTAGCTGGGGTCAAACAAGGGTGCCCATTGAGCCCCATCCTTTTTAACATCGTCGTCGAGCCGGCACTACGCCTCATCTCCGACCTAAAGCTGGGATACCATCTGCACAACCAATCCATATCCGTCTTGGCCTACGCGGATGACATTACAATCATCAGTGGTACCGCCAAAGGCCTCCAAACCCAGCTAGACCTCCTATCCACCTGGCCCCAAAACTGTGGCCTTACCTTCAAGCCAGCTAAATGTGCCACCCTCTCGATCGCCTCCAAATACCGCTGCGACGAAGATAGGCACTTCTCCATCCAGGACACCACCATCCCTCACCTGAAAAAAGATGACCATTACCACCATCTGGGGATACCGACCGGCTTCACCGTGGGGTGCTCCGCCGAAACTGTCATCGACGGGATCCTGACCAACCTAAAACATGTCGACAGTTCCCGCCTCGCCCCATGGCAGAAGATCGACTGCGTGAGTACCTTTTTAATATCCAGACTCACCTTTTACTTAATCCTCGGCAGTGTGCAAAAGAAATCATTAGGGAAGCTGGACAAATCCATCAAGCGTTATGTGAAGAAATGGATGTACCTGCCGCAACGTGCCAGTCCCGAAATCATCGCCATGCCACACGCCCAGGGAGGGGCCAACATCACCCCATGTGGCATCCTGGCCTACGTCGCGCAGGTAAGCCATGCTATTAACCTCCTTCATTCTAGAGACCCTGTCGTCGCTGCTCTCGCCGGGAACACCCTGCGTCTGGTCGTCGAAAAACGTATCAAACGGCCTCCCAGTGACGACGACGTCTGTACCTACCTGTCCGGGTCTATGGAAAACGAGTTTGGACTCGATCCATACGATATACCATCTGTCTGGACCCGGCTGCGTATGGCTACACATCGCCTGAAGAAATACATCGACCTGGTCTGGCAACCCAACGCAGACGGCACTTTCATCCCCTCCGTTAACGAAAAACCGCTCCAAAAAGCAACTGCCATGAAGTTCCTCTCCGACGCAGTCAAAGCTACTCTCCGCAAGCCCGACCAGGGAAAAACCTACCGTTTGATCGCACGTAACGCCAACAGTAACCACTTTCTACACGACGGCAGCTTCACCAGGTTTGCCGATTGGCGCTTCGTCCACCGTGCGAGGCTCAGGGTTGTACCACTTCGCGGCCTCCAGAGATTCGGCAACGCCTCCCAAAACTGTCGTCGGTGCCAGCGCCATTGTGAAACCCTGGCACATGTTGTGAATCACTGTCCGCCGAACTTTTCCCTAATAACTAAGCGCCATAACTCCATTCTAAATAGGCTCTACAACGCCATTGACCGCAGAAACCTCACAGTCTTCACCAACCAGAGGATCCCTGACTACCCAGGTACCTGCTGTCCTGATTTGGTCATCGTCAACAGTAACCCAAAAACCGCTACAATCGTCGACGTCGCCACCCCTTTTGAAAATGGGGAGGACGCCTTCGACCGCGCCCGCAACGAGAAGGTATCCAAGTACCGACCTGGCGAACTACTTCAAACGCAAAGTTTACGATACGTTCGTCGACGCCTTCATTGTTGGCGCCCTTGGCGGTTATGATGCCTCCAATGAGTGTGTATTACAACGGCTTGGCATCTCCAGAAGATACTCTAGACTGATGAAACGTCTCATGGTCAGCGACTGCATCAGGTGAAGTAGAGACATTTACACCAACCATCTGGGCAGCCGCTACCAGAACTAAGTCTCATTGTATACTCGCGTTTCACTTGTATCTGGCTACTGCCACTTTGGCTCTACGCCCATGTACTCGCGAATCTTTGTATTTTCTTTCGGCTGGCTGTGTGCCCTTGTCCACGCGTCTGAGGCTGAGCCTCCATTTGTATATTCTAACACCTTTAACCATATGTTGTCTTCCTGGCTGGCTATGTGCCCATGTGTCTACATTTCTTGCCTCCATTGGCTATCTTGTACATATTCAATTTATCAATAAATGGCTTTTAACTCTGTTCTTATCAGCTTAATGATCTTTGCCTAAAATTAGTACCAGACCTGGATTCTGAGCCTCACATCGCTCCCCAGTCCTCTGGGTAAGTATATTTGGTTTTTGCTGATTTCTCTTTCCTATACTCTTCTCTCTTCCGCCGGAAGAGCAGCCTGCACAGTGTATTCGCTGCTCGACCGGCAACACTTTTTCTATCGCCGCCAACTCAGTTTGGCGACGTGTCGGTGCTCTGCGTGAGTACCCCTTCCGCTACTTTCTTCCCCTTCCTGCCTCCCCTTGGTTGGCTGCTTCGGCACACCAGGAGGTATTTCCGCCCTTTCCTCTTACTTTCTCTACACATTTGGTCGCCATGACGAGGGAGACACTATTGGTACCTCTACACCCTCCGCATGGCTGCAGAATTTGCTTGCCAATTCCGAGAGAATACAGCAACCACGCTGGCCTTGTAAAACATTTAAAAAGAGAGCATAGTGCCTCCTTGGTCTTTGAGTGCAGGGCCTGTGGGCTCATTCTGGATAAGCTGAAATCCATGAAGGCTCACCAATTGCGTTCCGAGGCTTGTAGGGCGAGCATAGAAGCCGCCACGCCTCCTCCGCCCCTGCCCACGGACAGAGTCATACGACGTATCCCGACCAGACCCAGGAAGCGGTATGCGCCCAGGCAGTCGAAGAACACCACGTCGCCAGTCTCCGAGAGTGACCAGTCCATCTCCGATCACCAGACTCCAACACCCCCTCGCCCCAGGCCCAGCAGAAGAAGGACAACGAGATCCGTCCAGGCCATCAGCGAGGAAGATCAGCAGCCGGAGACTACTGTCCGTGAGCAGGCCCCCCCTGCCTCTACCCCTGGTAGCCTACAGTCCCAGACCTATGCTCAGGCCCTTAGGACTAGCCCCCCCACTGCTAGGACCCCTCTTACTTGCCGCGACAGCCCCCCTTTAAGGGCTAATCAGTCGCCGGCTGAGGTGCACTCCAGTCAACGGGCCCGGCTAAGTCCAACCTCAACATGCTCTCCACCTGCTTGCCCCCTGACAGTACGCAAGCAGCCACTACCCGTCAACCACTAAGTAATAGCCAGCACAATAACAACGACCCCCCAACATGGATAACAGCGTGGGTAACACGCTTTAATTCCACCATCGACGAAGACATGTTGGAGGGGGTTCTCAGCGATTTCATCCAGTTGGCCTACCAAATTTGTAACGTCCGGGCCCCGCAGCCACAACATCGGCACCAACGGAACAATCCCGAAGCCAGTCCCCCCCAACTTGGGGCAAGCGTATGTATAAAGCAAACCGTAAGAGGGCCTTCGACCGCATTACTGGCGGCCCCTCACGGTTCTGCAACATTGATACTAAAACCATTGAGGCCCATTTTCGTCAGATGTACGAAACTACCTCCTGCAGCATCTCCTCTCCAGTACCTGTCGACCCTTGCGCCCCCCCGGCCACAAACAATCCTTTTGATACCTCCTTCACTCCTGGGGAAGTGGCACGGCGCATCTCCAGAGGGCATAACACCGCCCCGGGGCCCGACAAGTTACGGTACCTCCACTGGAGACGGATCGATCCCAATGGCCACATAATTTCTGCCATCTTCAACACCGTTCGCAGGATTGGGCACATCCCACACAGCTGGAAAGTGTCCACCACAATCCTGATACATAAAAAAGGCGCAACTTCCAATCTCAACAACTGGCGCCCCATCTGCCTGTCAAACACGCTTGGCAAACTATACACGGCGTGCCTTGCTGACAGGCTTTTGAGCTGGTGCTCTGTTAACGATCGCCTTTCGCCATCTCAGAAAGGCTTCTTAAATTTCCAAGGGTGTCTTGAGCACAACTTTGTGCTACAGTCCGCTATCCAGAATGCCAGAAGGTCCAGGCAAGACTGTTTTATTGCCTGGCTTGACATCGCTAATGCCTTCGGCAACATTCCGCATAACACCCTGTGGGAATCCCTCAGATGGCATGGCCTCCACCCTGACGCCATAGAGACGCTACAACAGCTGTATGAGGGAGCCACCACACGTGTACGCACTAACACCGGACTCACAGACTCCATTTGCTTACAATCTGGGGTAAAGCAGGGCTGTCCCATCAGCCCACTGCTTTTCATTCTCGCAATCGAACCTGCCATTCGGAAAGTCCGCAAACTCAATGAAGGGTACCTTCTCAATCATCACCCTGTCAATATCCTGGCCTATGCTGACGACATAGCGCTCATCAGCAAATCGAAAGAAGGCCTCCAACTACAATTAGACTCTATCGTCGAATGGACTGAGTGGGCTGGTATTCGATTTAACCACAAAAAGTGCGGGACTCTTACAGTCAAAGGCAAAACTCACACCACTGGCAATGACACCTTTACTATCTACCAGCAGCGTCTTCCGGTCTTAGGCGAAAACGACGCCTATCACCACCTTGGCGTGCCAACCGGATTCAGTAGGTGTGATACTGAAATAGCGACGATTGAGGGCATTCTCCAATCCATCATAAAACTACATTCGTCCAAGCTGGCGCCTTGGCAGAAAGTGGATGCCCTCAACACTTTCATTATGCCGAAACTCACCTTTGCCTTAACGACTGGCACCACCCCCAAGAGCCTGCTCTCCAAAATTGACAGAACCACGAAAAGGTGTGTCAAAAAATGGCTTGGCCTACCCCAACGTGCCAGCCCGGAGATCGTCCACCTACCTTACATGCAGGGTGGCACGAACGTCACACCAACCAACCAATTGGCTGACATAGCGCAAATTGCGTATGCTACATATCTTTTCAACGCCAGAGACCCAGACGTTACAAAAATCGCCATTGATGCACTCAACAAAGTGGTTCATAAACGTATCGGTAGATCTCCTAATCCTGAAGATCTCTGCCGCTACCTCGATGGTTCCATGGAGGGTGAATTTGGCCTACCAAGCTGCGACATCACCTCCATGTGGACAAGGCTGCGAGTGGCTACCAGGCGGCTCAAAAAACATATTGATATCTCTTGGGCAGTTGGGCCCGATAACCTGCCGTCCATCACCGCAGGAACCACCACCATCCGCCCTAATGACTGCCAGCGCATCTTATGCGGTCTGATGAAACAACATTACCTGCAACAACTTCTTGCAAAACCAGACCAAGGGAAGGTGCACGGTGTCACTTCCACCAGTGCGGCAAGCAACCATTTCCTCAACAATGGAAAATACACTAGCTTTGCCGACTGGTATTTTGTTCACAAGGCCCGTATGAGCGTGGTAGCTCTTCGTGGCCACAAGCGCTATGGGAATGACACAAAACAGTGTAGACGCTGTGGGCACACTCCAGAAACCCTTGCCCACGTCCTGTGTCATTGCCCACCTAACCTCCCTCTCGTAACCCGTAGGCACAACGCAATGCTCGACAGACTTGCTGCGGCCTTCAAACCAGGAGACGCAAAAGTCCTTGTTAATCAATGTGTGCCGGGATACATCGACAACTGCCGCCCAGACTTGGTCGTCATCCATGAACAATCCAAATCAGTGACGATCGTGGATGTAACGACCCCCTTCGAAAATGGACCTTCGGCGTTCCAGGCAGCCAGAGAGGAGAAACTAAGAAAATACGACCCACTGGCACGACACTTCCGACGACTGGGTTATGATACGCATATAAGTGCGTTTATCATCGGAGCCTTGGGTGGCTACGACCATGCAAACGAAGCCACACTACAACGTCTTGGTGTGGGCCGTGGCTACTCAAGACTCATGATGAAATTGATGGTGAGCGACGCAATCAGGTGGAGTGCAGATATCTACAAGCAGCACATCGGAGACCACCGCCGAAGATCAGCACCAGCTCCATCAGCCAACAACAGAACCCAATTTGTCGCGTAAATTAGCAGGCAAACGTGCCCATGTCCACGCTACCATCTCTTATACCCTACCTGGCAGGCATTGAGCCCATGTAAATATCGCGTAATATCTCTTGTAAAATACTTCTGTAAATATTATATTACCTTGGCTGGCATTTGAGCCCATGTTCACTCGGCCCTTATCTCATTATATACTTATAACATCCAAGTTGGCAAAACCATGCCCATGTCACGGAATCGAACTAAACACTGTAAAATATTAATTTGTATATATTCTCTTTAAGAAACTAAATAAAGGCTTTTATATCTGTTCTTATCAGCTTAATTGTCCGTCATTAAGCCTGATCCTGCCCTCATTGATGACCTCCGGATTCCGAGCCGATCGCTCCCCGACAGGTGGTAAGTTGTTTTAAGCTACCTTTCTCTTTTCTATTACTCTTCCTACTTCCGCCAGAAGGGTGGCCTGCACTGTTTAAACGCACAGTGTATTCGCTGCCTGACCGGCAACCACTTTCCTGTCGCGGCGTCAACTTGGTTGACGACGCAACGTGTACTTCTTCTACTACCCAGACTTGTCTGAGTAGTAGTTCTTTCTTCCCCTTCCTGCCTCCTCTTGGTCGGCTGCTCCTAGCACCCCAGGAGGCATTTCCGCCCCTATTCCCCTACTTCTCCTATAGACTGCACATTTGGTCCAGGCCATGTCTGAGGTAACACTTCTTGTTCCTCTCCGCCCGCCTCACGGTTGTAGGCTCTGCCTCC